GCAATGTTCTAAGAACTTGTTGTGGCTTCCACGAAATGTTCTTGGAACATTTCTAACTGGGATTGCCTTGCTTTTACACATCGGATTTACGTTCTAAGAAAACGTTTTTGTTATTAGAACACTTTTTGGGGTTCTAAGAACACTTCGTGGTACGCCTATGGGACTGCTGAGACGGTCGGTCCCTGCTAACAGAAGAGGAGGGCCGAGAGGCCGGGGGAGGCGCGCGCGCCGAGAGCGCGGGCACCGCCCGAGGGGAGCGGCGGGCCGCGGGAGAGGCAAGCTCAGCGAACGGGAGCATGCCTCGACCAGACAGTCGACGTTAACCAAACGGCCCTGGGCGTTTGCTACATAACTCTGCCCTGTTCGATTCCTTCCTTGGGCGCACTTACTAAAAAACGGCTTCGCCCGTCGGGGTGGTGATTATGGTGGTGGATTTCTTTGCCCTCTGAGGCCGACGCAGCGATCGACATCGAGAGGCTCCCAGCGGATCGAAAAGCGGCGGGCGAGCAGAAGAGCAGCGGCGGTGTGGGGTCCACGCCGAGGGGTTCCCGGCGGACCCTCCGGGAAGAACCGCGTCGGGCGAGGCAGAGGGCCCCCCCCGGGTCCAGCAACACCAGCGCCGGACGGACGGCGAGCGGGGGCGAGCAGAAAGAAAGGACAGGCCCTCCTCCTCCTCCTCCTCCTCCTCCTCCTCCTCCTCCTCCTCCTTCTCCCCCTCCCTCCTCCTCCCCTCCTCCTCTTCCTCCTCTTCCTCCTCTTCCTCCTCCTTCCTCCTCCTCCTCTCTCCTCCCTCCTCCTCCCTCCTCCCTCCTCCTCCTCCTCCTCCTCCTCTCCTCCTCCTCCTCCTCCTCCCTCCTCCTCCTCCCTCCTCCTCCTCCTCCTCCTCCTCCTCCTCCTCCTCCTCCTCCTCCTCCTCCTCGAGCCAGGGTGAGGCGGCAGACCCATGTCGGAGGACGACGACGACGACGACGACGACGACGACGACGACGACGACGACGACGACGACGACGACGACGACGACGACGACGACACGCGCCAGAGGCGGGCAGACCCGCGCCCGAGGCAGCAGGGGGCGGGGCGCCGCCCCTGTCGCGCGACCGCGCCGCTGCGCGGGGGCCCGATGTGCGCGCGCACGGCGGGCCCGCGGCGCCGCGCGGTGGCGGCCGCCTCGCTCGCGGCCGCGCGCGCCGCGGCGCCGTGCGCCGGCCACGTGGTGTGGGGCCCCGCGCGCCCAGTCTGGGCGGCGCGCCGATGGGGGGGGGGAGCGGCGCCCTGGAGAAACCTTGAGATTCACGCAGTGGCGAGGCGTCCTGGCTCGCCTGTGGGCCCACCAAGTCATGTTCTCATAACTTTTTGTGGTTTCCACGAAGTTTTCTCAGAACAGTTCTGGCTGGGACTGTATTGCTTTAGCACATCGGGGTTGTGTTCTAAGAACGTCGTTTCGGTTCTTAGAACATTTTGGGGTTCTTAGAAGATTTCGTGGTAGGCCTATAGGAATGTCGGGACGGTCAGCCCCTGCTCAATGGCGGTTCCGTTTTTTCGAGGCGGGCGCTGTCGCTCAATGGCCCCGGGGCCCTCACAGGTCGCTGCGGCTCGAAAAAAAGGACGCCGAAGAATGGGGCCCCGGATTCCGGTCGCGATTTGAGCTGCGGTGGTGCACGCGCTTGCGGGTGAGCTCCGGTAGTGTACATGTGTTCGTTGCTGTTTGTGTATGGGCCGTTCACACAATCCTTTATTCTTTATTGTCCTGTGCTGGTTGGTTTTAGCTCTTCTCCTCGCTCGGCTCTGCTGCCTCCTTCCTTCGTCCTTCCTTTGGCTTGCTTTTGCTCCTTCCCCGTGCTCCATGTTTCGCCTCGCATTACCCCGCCTTGGGGCTGCTCATCATCGTCGTCTTCGTCGTTGCTATCATCGCCGTCATGCCATGCGGGGTCTGAGTATATTCGGTATCGTTTAACCGATCCCCATCCCCATCCCCATCCCCTTCGAGACCCCCACCAAATTACCCCCCCAGTTGGGGATACACCCCTCGAAACCCGAAGGGAACGGCCTATATCCCCATCTAGGGGGGTAAATCGGCCAGTGGGCCCAGGCCACGCCGCTGGGGATGGGGATCGGATAAACGATACCCATAAATGGGGTCGACGGATCTTGACGCATCGCATGTTCATCGACGACGCGGCTCGGTGTGGAGGCAGAGTTTCTCCACGTCGATGGCGCCGATGCATCGCCGACGCCGCCGATGCATCGGCGATGCGGAGCGGCCGTCCGCACCCGTGTAGTCGAACCCCATTCCATGAGGCCTCGAACAGTCGAGATGGGTGCGGAGAGGCTGATGACGAAGACCAGTATCAATGCTTTCGCGGGCGATGTTTCTCCCCCAATCCCCGAGTTTCGCCCGAAAAGTCTGGCCGCTCAGAAGAATGGGAAAACCCTGGGATACACCCCAAGGGGGCTATTCGGACGCACCCCTATCGAGAATGGACACCCCCCCATCGTATATCCCAGGGTTAGGCCCAAAATTTCTGGTCCATTCGGAAACCCCACGAAGCCTGGGATAGGGGTCGACATATCCCCTGTTATGCTTGTCCATTGTGAGCAGGGCGCGCCGTGAGTGTTGCCGCGGACGCTGCCCGCGTGAGGAAAAGCCGCCCGGTCCAACAGCGCCCGCGGCCGGTCTTGGACACCTCCTGTGCCGCACCCGCCTCGGGCGTGCCGAGCGCGAGGCGGGGCGGGCCTTCTGGAGAGGCCCTGAAGGCCTCCGTGCTTCTGGCTTGGCATCGCTCGGACGTGTGCGTTTTTTTCCCTCGGCGAGGACCAGCGAGGAGCATCCTTGATCCTTTGGCGAAGGAAAAACCACGCACGCAAGCGGAGCAAAACACAGGGAATGGACGTCCGAGCGATGGCCAGCTAGGGCACGCCCCAGGTCGTCCTTGGATTTTCGATGGGAAGCCGAAGCTGAACTCCTGAGGAGAAGGGGCCTCGTTCCTCACTTACGGTAGGTTCGTGTCGTGTCGACCGGCGGCGACCCCGCCAGCGGCGTTCAACTTTGAACACCGCGGGCGACCCAGAATCGTTCGATGTGGAAGGATTTGGACGTTTCGAAAACGGCCGATCGTTCAAGGTTGAACGATCCCCGCGGTGTCAGAAACCAACGCCGAAGTCGGCACGACACGGACCTGCCGTAGGGCTCCTTGGGGCAACGCCCCGACTGTACCTCTGAAGCCCCCCCTCCGAAGCAGACCCCGCCGCCTCCTGGGAAGGCCCGCCGCCGCCTCAGTCCTTCCCCCCCCTCGGCCTCCATCCTTTGGGCTACCTCTGAAGCCCCCCATCCGAAGCAGACCCCGCCGCCTCCTGGGGAGGCCCGCCGCCTCCTCAGGTTCTTCCCCCCCCCCGCCCCTCGGCGGCGCCGCCGAGAGAGCCGGGTGTGGCCGGAGGTGGCCCCGGCCCAGGGGGGGATATCTCCACGGAGCGGCCGCGCGGGGGGCGCTGACTAGAGGGGGGGGGGACCTCATGGCCAGGGCCAGGGGTGCCTCCCCAGATCGCAGGGCCCCCCTCCTCTTGCCGCAGCACGTCCTTTGACAACTTGGCATCGCTCGGCAATTGCGGCAGCCCAGGGTGTGTCTCCGGGAGCTCTCCATGGAGCGGGGTGGCCACGCGGGGGGCGCTGGCTACAGTCAAAAACCCTAATATGGACGCGCGACTTTCCTCAGGGTACTCCAGATTTCGTAATAAAAGGGAGGGGGGTCTCATTTCGGGAGGGGTCTCTTCCAGGCCATCTTGGAGGGCCTAGGGGGGTCTGGGGACGATGTTTTGGAGGGTTCTCCCACGGGGGAGGTCTGAAATGGCTTGTCTTGGAGGGTCCAGACCCCCTCCCTTTTATTACGAAATCTGGAGTACAGTCAAAAACCCTGATAAGGACGCGCGACTTTGCTCAGGGTACCCTTGCTCGTCCTTGCTCGTCCTTGCTCTTGCGTCCTCGGGGTTTTCGGCGTCCGCCGCCCCAGATATCCCAACTTCGGCTTCCAAGGGCCTTTGCGTCCTTACCGCGCGTCCTTATCATGGTTTTTGACTGTAGGGGGGTGGGACACCATGGCCAGGGCCAGGGGTGCCTCCCCAGATCGCAGGGCCCCCCTCCTCTTGCCGCAGCACATCCTTTGACAACTTGGCATCGCTCGGCCGTGTGATTTTTTTCTCGGCGAGAGCCATCGAGGACCATCCTGGACCATCGATCAAAAAAAAAGCACGCACGACACCGACAAATGCACAGGGAATGGACGTCCGAGCGACGGCAGGCTTGGCTCACTGGACGCCATCACTGCCCGCGCGCTCGCCCCGCGCCGAAGAGGCCTTCCCTCCGCCGCCTCCCCGAGCACCGCGCACGAGGCGCCGAAGGGGACCCGGGTTATGATGTTCCGACCTGCTGTAGCCTGGAGCCCGAGAAAGAGTTCCGAGCACCAAGACAGCACCGAAGCTCGAGGCCTTCCCTTCCTCCCCCTCCTCCTCCTCCTCCTCCTCCTCCTCCTCCTCCTCCTCCTCCTCCTCCTCCTCCTCCTCCATCTCCTCCTCCTCCTCCTCCTCCTCCACTTTGCCGTGTCGACTGCACGCAAGAGTGACCTTCCGCCGGCGTGACCTTTGGTGCGGGCACCAAGACAGCACCGAAACCCGAGGGTCTCCACGCGTCGGGCCCCGGGAGGCACTCGTCCGACACTGCTTCGACGCTCTCTCGACTCGCTCTCGACGCTTTTCCGGGCTGCTCGAAATCATGTCCGGGATGCTGTCCTTCAGTACAGTGCCGTGTCTAATACATGCTCCGCGTGCGGATCATGTATTAGAAATGCAGGGATTTAGTACTAAAAACAACGATGAGTTCATGCATAAATTCATTCATACATTCATCCTTTGTATTAAACATCCTATATTTTAAGAAATCCTTTGTATTACAAACTGCCCTGTACGGTGGGAGCAGCATCACCCCGGGGGGGGGTGCAGGGCCTCGCGAGCAGCTGGGAGCACCCTGGGCCGGGAGCACCCCCGGAGACCGCCCGAGCGAGACCCGGAGACGCTGCCCCCGACGGAGGCGGCCTCGGGTGAGAACGCCACATGCTCCTCCTCCTCCTCCTCCTCCTCCTCCTCCTCCTCCTCCTCCTCCTCCCCTTCCTCCTCTCCTCCTCCTCCTTCCCCTCCTCCCCTCCTCCTCCTCCTCCTCCTTCTCCTCCTCCTCCTCCTCCACTCTGCCGTGTCGACTGCACGTAAGAGTGACCTTCCGCCGGCGTGACCTTTGGTGCGGGCCCACTGGGGTCCCTCGATCGCCGCGCGCGATGCGATTTGTAGCGCCTTGCGCGCCTGTGCCTGACCCCCCCGCGGCCCCCCAAGAGGCCGCGCACCAAAGGCCGCTCCTACCCAGGGTCACTCTTGCGTGTGGCCGATCGCGATCGATCGGGGGTGGACAGAACCCCCAACAGTGACACGTCGATTCGTGAATTGTCCGTTTTCGGTTTTCTCCAGGGCGCTGTGGCCGTTATTCTCCAGGCTTGCGCCCGCCAGGTTTGGGCCTCAGGTCGTTTTCACAAATCCACGTTTTACTAAAGGGGGGTCTGTCCATCCCCGAATCGAAGGGAGGTGGTCACAACTCTCTCAGACGTCCCCCCCCCCCCAAACCAGCCAGGACAGGGCGGCCTTGTGCCCAGATCCCCGGGAACTCTCCGAGGCAGCGCAGATCAGAGCTCCCCCAAATCGGGCCGCCCCCCATGGTATTGCGAAGCCTGGAGTGCACACCGGTACCCTTCCCTCCTTCTCGCACTTGTGGGCGTTAGGGTGATGGTGTGAGGGCTGGGTATGAGGGCTATGGTGTTGGGGTGTTACCGTTGGTGTGTAAGGTTGAGGGTTTCAGGCGTAATTTGCTAGGGCTGTAGTTGCAGGGTTGGGTCCAGGTGTTCGGGTTAGGGTGTCAGGGTTGGGGCTAGGGTGTCAGAGAGAGGATAACAGAGCTAGGGTGTTCGGGTCATGGTGTTAGGGTGGAGCTGTTAGCTTGATGCGTAGGGTGTGAGGGTGAGAGTATTGGGATGATCGTGCTCGGGTTAAGTTTTCAGGGCCTGAGAGCGGCGGCATCGGTTTCTGCTGCTGACCAAAACCGGCTCCGCGCACCCGGGATCTCCAGGCAGCGCGGCGGCGCCGTCGTCGTCGTCGTCGTCGTCGTCGTCGTGCTCGTCGCTCGTCGCTCGTCCCTCGTCGCTCGTCGCTCGTCGCTCATCGTCGTCGTGCGCGCGAACAAGGCTGGAACCTGTTTTTTATTCCGGGCTGATGACGGCAATCGTCGTGGGGGAGAGGGGGCCACATGTTAAAACCCACTTGCCCTCAATGTGTGAATGTGTTGCCAATGTTTAAGTTTCAGGGCCACACATGGTGAGAAAGTTCCAGGCGAAACGCCGAGCCCGTTCTTTCGACTGGCCTCGGCGGGGTGCGGCAGGGAGGATTACTTATCAGTAGGCGGAATGGATGATTACCAGGAGCAGCACCATTGGCGTAACCAGGCTCCATCAGCGCGAAGAAGCCAGCACACACGGCAGCCTCAGTAGGCGTCCAGCCTGGGGCGCCCTCGGCCGCAAAACGGCAAGGACAGGGGGGCGCCCCGTGCCGCGGGGGCCCCCTGCGGACCCCAGCAGCCCCCACCAATAGGGCAACCAGTGCCGACGAAACCCCAGGGCGGTGCGGGCCGCACCGGATGCGCCGTGCGGCGCACCTCCCTGGGGCCAGGGGCCCTACGCGACAGCAGTCGGGCCCCCGCCTCCCGCACCCCTCGCGCCCACGGCGCTGGCGAGGGGTGTCTTCGCGCCGCGACTGCGGGCGTGTGAGGCCCGCCTTCGCGCGCTGCACCAATCGCGCCCTCGGAACAGGCGATGGGCGGCGTGTCGCAGGCCCGAGGGAGCCCGCGCCAGCCCGCACCCCGAGGGGAATCCCAAGAGGAGGATAGACACCAAGTAGGACGAATCGCAAGGACCCCGAGCCAGGGGGGCCTGGCAACGGGGGGCATCCCGAACCCGCCCCACCCGGTACCCCCCCCCCGGGGAGGGACCCCCGGGGTCTGGGCGCCCTGGCCCCCCCGCCGCCCTCCGCCAGTCCTGCGGCTAGTCGCCTGCTTGCTCTGTATCCCGACGAGGCAGGCGGAAGAGGAATGGAGGAGGAGGAAGAGGACGAGGAGAAGGAGGAGGACGAGGACGAGGACGAGGACGAGGACGAGGAGGACGAAGAGGAAGAGGAAAGGAGCGAGGAGCAGGAAGAGGAGGGAGGAGGAGGAGGAGGAGGAGGAGGAGGAGGAGGAGGAGGAGGCGGGGGTGTATGGGGGTGTTAGGGGGAGGAGGATGAGGAGGAGGAGGAGGAGGAGGAGGAGGAGGAGGGAGGAGAGGGATGAGGAGAGGAGGAAACTGTAGGATGAGGAGGAGGAGGACGGGGGGGAGGAGGACGACGACGAGGAGCCACGAGGAGCACGAGGAGGAGGAGGAGGAGGGAGGATGAGGAGGAGGAGGAGGAGAAGAGGGGGAGAGGGGAGTGGAGGAGGAGGAGGACGACGACGCGGACGGGCCGAGGACGAGGACTAGAAGCACGAGGAGCGAGGATGGATGGACGAGGACGAGGACGAGGAAGACAGGGAGGAGGAGGCGGAGGAGGGGAGGAGGAGGAGGAGGACGAGGATGGAGGAGGAGGAGGAGGAGGAGGAGGAGAGAGGAGGAGGGAGGAGGGAGGAGGGAGGGAGGGGGGGGGGGGGGGGGGGAGGGGGCTGGGGAGGGGCAGGGGCAGGGGCAGGGGCCATGGGGAGGGGGAGGGAGAGGGAAGGAGGAGGGAGGGAGGGGGAGGGAGGGAGGGAGGGAGGGAGGGAGGGAGGGAGGGGAGGGGGAGGGAGGGAGGGAGGGAGGGAGGAGGAGAGGGGAGGAGGAGGAGGAGGAGGGAGGAGGTGGAGCAGCAGCAGGAGGAGCAGGAGGAGGAGGAGCATCATAATAATACTAAGAATAATAATAAGAATAAGAATAACAACAATAAGAAGAAAACAACGAAAATTGATAAGAGGAAGAAGCAGCAGCAGCAGAAGGAGGAGGAGGAGGAGGAGGAGGGCCCCTTTAGAAATGTCGATGGCCTATCTCGCGTGCCGCGAAGGAGGGCTACCGTTCGCTGCTGGCCCTCTGCGGCGGCACGGGCCGGGGCGCCGCCGAGGCTTCGCCCGGCGGCGCCGCGGGCACCGGCGGCGCGGCGGGCAGCGGCGAGGCCTTCTGCCGGTCCTGCGCGGCGCGGTTCCTGGAGGGCGTGGCCGGGCCGGACTGCGAGGCGCCACGGGCGACGGGCACGTCTGCGCAGGCCCATAGAGGTGGGCCCCAGCACGAACTTCGGCCGCGTGCATCCACCGAAGAGATCCCGATCTCGGTGATTTTCGGGCCGAACGAAAGGGGGGGATAGGGAAAGGGGGGGGTACGAAATCTGCTGCACGCAGCTGGTTTCGGCCCCGCCGCCAGGCCCATTCCTCGATACATGGGCGCCTCCCGGCGCCGGGAGGCGCCGGGAGAATCAGCTACGTGAGCTGATTCTCAAACCCCCCCTTTGCTATCCCCCCCTTTTGCCCAGCCCGAGTGATGGTGGCAGTATCCTGGTTTCCAAGGTGGCCGAGATATTACCACCAACACCGAAATCTAGGATCATCTTCCCCCTGTGGAGGCAACCCTCTGTGTTGGTGTTGGTGCCCACTTCCAGGCCTCCAACGTCTTCTCCTGAGATCCAGGCGGCTCAGTTTTTCGAGCCCGGCGTTGACTTTTTTTTCGGCCCCCAGGGCCCTCTTAGATCGATGCGTCTCGAACAATGACGCAGAAAGGTGGGGTCCAGGGCTCCGGGCGTGAATTTTGACGATGTTGCAATTTTTTGCTACGTCGGATCTCAGGGTCTCTCGAATAAGAAACAACAGTATAAATATAAGCTTTTGGCGCTCCGCGTGGATTTCTTGGATCGGCGCTGGGCCCCCCGGCGGCGCCTCCGGCGCCGCCCCTGGCGCGCTCCGCGCTAGTTCCTTCCTCTATTCTCAGAGCTGGGGGTAGCTACAGATTCGCGCCTCGAGGGCCCAAACTGGAGTTGCCCCAGACCGCAGTTATCACGGATAGTTCGGACGCCCAGCTCTCCCGAATCATCGAGATTGCCCGAGGTTAGAGATAATTAGCTGCAGATTCGCGCCTCGTGAGCCTAAACCATAGGTATCCCGGACCGCAGTCATCCAGGATACTTCGAGCGCCCAACTGTCGGGGAGACGTAAGAGTCAAGTGCGCCGGGACTTGGAATTGCGGGCGCTTTTTGACGAGCACGTCCCAGATTTTGACGGTCCAGTTTTCGTAGGATGTTTGCAGCGGGATCCCGCGTCAAAATTCAGAGTGGGCCTCGTCATTTTCAGAATGGCCCCGTCAGGCCGACCCGAGTTCTCCGAACCCGAGTCATACGTCTCCCCGACACGTGCGGCGGGCACGTCTTCGGGACCCGGTACCTGTCCACTATGCTGTGGTACTGCTTGTCCGCCACTCAGTGGCACATGGCGACCCAAACACAGAGTGTGTGTGCGTGTATGTATACACCCGCGTATACGTGTTTCAACGCCTGTCGCCGGGAGAGCTGGCTGGAACATCACACTACAGTGGGGGCCCATGCCGAGATACACACTGCTTGACTCCAGGGTGCCCTGGGTTTCTTGGGTTTCGATGGTTTTGTGATGGAAAGCGTGACGTTCCCACACCAAAACTCCATGGACGTCCTGGAGTTCCAGGGTTGGGTTTCTTGTGGACGGTTTCTTGCGGTCGAGCCCCTACTGTATACGTTGTCCTGCGACGTGTCTGCGAAGCCCCCTGGGACAGGGCCCGGATACCTTCGTGCAATGTGCGCGCGGTTCCCGCCACTGCCTGTGCCGTCGCAGTCTGTCTTGAAACAGCTCTGGAGGCCCCCGCGGACCTTCCCGAGTTCCTGTGAGTGTTTTTTTTGTTGGTTGTCCTCTCGACCTCCGGTCTGGGCCGCCGAGGCCCGCGCTCCCGCGCGCGGCGTGGCTCCCGCGAGGATGCGGCGGCGGCGGCGGCGGCGCCAGACAGACGGTGGTGCAGTGACGGAGTGGCTGAGAGCAGCCGCCGGGGCTGCCCTGGGCTCCGCATACGCCCTCGTTCGGGGGCGGACAGAACCCCCAAGAGTGACACGTCGATTCGTGAATTGTCCGTTGCCGGTTCTCGAGAGGGCGCCGCGGACGTTTTTTGTCCAGGCCTGCGCCCGCCAGGTTTGGGCCTCAGGTCGTTTTCACTAAACCACGTTTTACGAAAGGGAGGTCTGTCCATCCCCGACTCGTTCCCTGGACAGATCAGGACGAAAGTGTCTCGTTTTTTTCGGCCTCTGGGGGCCCTTCCCGACTCGGGATGAGACTCCGGCCCCAGGGAATGGGTCGAGACCCCTGGGGGTCGACGCTATGACAAAATCATGACGCTCGGGGGCCTGTCAGCCACGCGCAGACGGGGGTGGAGGAAGGGGGGGAGGAGGGCTTAGAGGCACCAAGGCGCGGTCCTTTTTCTGCAGATGTGAGGCCGGCTCCTCCTAAGAAGCAGCCTCCTTCTACGGAGCCTCCCCCCTTCCCCCTACCCCCCTTGTGCGCGCCGCCAAGGGTCGCCGCATCACCGACGTTCCAGCGGCGCGGCTCGATCTGGAGCTCGATTGTCTCCCTACCGTCTCTGATGCATCGGCGATGGAGCGCCATCCTACGGCCCCATCTGCTCAGGCCTCTATCCCCGTTGTGCGCGCCGCCAGTATTTGCTCTTGGCACTTCGCGCAGCGCGAAGCGCGAATTTAGGCGCCCCTGGATACGGTGTGGGCGTTCGATAACGAATCTGCTCAGGAGGCTTCAGACCCTGGAGGGTTCCTTATCTGCCGAGGGCGACGGTGATACCGTAATACCCATGGTCGGTCCACGATCGGAGTTCCGCTGGCTTCCAGACCCCGGATTCCTTATGTTCTTTATGCGATTCCCTCACAGTATGCTTCCCGCCCTGGGAGCGCGGGAGGCACGCGGCAGCTAGTGACTCAGGCTAGCCAGACGAGCTGGCTCGACCCACATCCTGGCGGCCGGCCATGCGTTTACAGCCGCTGACCGCCGCATAGGACGTGTCACCAAAATAGACGCATACGGTATGATTCACCTGAGGCTCCCCCTGGAAATTCCGAGTGGCACCATATGGTTCCCGTGGTCCTGTACACCACTACTTTTGTCTTGAGCTGCCATGGGCTCCCCATACACCCTCGTTCCCTGAAAAGATCAGGACGAAAGTGTCTCGTTATTTCCATTCAGCCGGGGGGGGCCCTTCCCAGACCTCGGGACCGTCGAAAACCGACTCAGGATAAGACTCCGGCCCCTGGGAATGGGTCGAGACCCCTGGAGGTCGACGCTATGACAAAATCATGACGCTCGGGGGCCTGTCAGCCACGCGCAGAGGGGGGTGGGGGGAAGGGGCGAAGGCTTCTTAGAGGCACCCTTGCTTCTTAGAAGGCGCGGTCCTTTTTCTGCAGATGTGAGGCCGGCTCCTCCTAGGAAGCTGCCCCCTTCCAAGAAGCCTTCCCCCCTCCCCCTGCCCCCCTCGCGCGCGAGGCTAAGTCTGGGTCCGGGATGGTGCGCAGGTCCGCCCGGCCCTTGTCACGGGGGTGGCCTGTGGTGCGCCGCTCTAGGGCCCAGGAGGACCTTGGCCCGACACGATGGTTCGACCGGACAACATGGCAGGGTAGGGAAAGGGGAGGGTTACGACACCTGCTGCGTGCAGCAGGTTTCGGCCCAGCCGCCGGGCCCATTCCTCGATACATGTCAAGCAGTGGCGAAGCGTCCTGGCGTGCCTATAGGCCTACCAGACAATGTTCCAAGAACCTTTTGTGGTTTCCACGATATTTTCTTAGGACATTTCTGGCAGGGACTGTCTTGTTTGAACACATCGGGTTTATGTTCTAAGAACGTTGCTCTTGTTCTTAGAGCATTTCCGAGTTCTAAGAAGATTTCGAGGTAGGCCTATAGGAATGCCGGGACGGTCGGTCCTTGCTCAGACATGGGCGCTTCCAGACGCCAGGATTCGCCAGGGAAACCAGCTATAGGTGACCTTTGCTATCCCACCCTTTCGTCCCCCTCGAGTGGTGCACCACTTGGTGGCACAGGATAGAGCTCGTGCACTCCGCATGGGGAGAGGACACAGAGGATTCGAATCGCAAAACTGAGCGAAAAGGAATGAGGAGGGAGAACGAGGAATGAGGAGGCAGACAAAAGAAATGATGAGGGAACAAAAAGAATGAGGCGCTCCACCCAGCCGCTCCAATTTTTTTGATGCGTGGGCCCTGGAGGTCCAGACCACTTCCACAGGGCCAGGTTTTCGTCCTCAGCCGTTTGTTGACGGTCTCGAGGCCTGGCGCGGGCCCCTGGAGGCGAGTGCGGCCCAAAGACCCGCCGTTCCTTTTTTTGCTTGGAGCGT